ACACATGTCGCACATGGATCGAAAGATCTATTCTTTATGCACAAGATGAACATACATAACATGCCTCAAACAACTAATACAATCACTAAAAACATATTTTTTCAAACTTACTCTGTTTTACTCTAGTTTTTTGATAGCCCCGCCTTCCAATGCCACGTGACTAAAATCTCGCCGGCCTACGTCATAACGTTGGGAAATACCTTCGGTAACGCGAGATCTCGTCAAGTCATGTGACATTTCTCATGGCCTAATTACCATAAAAAACATGGGTTGGTATAGAAAACGTTGGAAAAAACTTTTCGTAATGATCTTTGAAACATGTTATTGATACCATCTAGTGCATAAAGAATAGATCTTTCTATCCATGTGCGACATGTGTGTGAAAGTGACGAAAGAGGGCCGGAGTTCTGACGTTAATCGACGACAGACCGATACGAAAAAAGTCGATAAAACGTCAGAATAATTCAAACTAGAGTCAAATGTGTCAGACACTTCAAACGACTTCTTCTGAAGAACTGAAAGGTATATAATCTCTATATTTGGCTTGTAAAGTTTGAGAATGAAAATGACCTTGACCTTCTTTTAAGGTCACATGAGGCAGATATGTCAAGCACTTTAAACGACTTCTGAAGAACTGGTAGTTATAAAAAATCTTAATATTTGGCAGGTGGCTTCCTGGGAAAGAGCCAAACAAAGTTTGCGAATGAAAATGACCTTGACCTACTTTCAAGGTCACAGCGTTCAAATATGTCAAACAGTTCAAACAGCTTCTTCTGAAGAATTAAAAGGCATAAAATTATAATATTTGGCTGGTGACTTCCCGGGATAGAGCTCACCAAAGTTTGCAAATGAAAATGACCTCAACCTACTTTAGAGGTCACAGAGGTCAACAACATTTTAATGGATTTGTTCTTGAGAACTAAAAGGAATGGATTCATAAGATTTGGCTGGTAGCTTTTTGGAATAGAGCTAACCAATTTGAGAAGGAAAATGACATTGACCTACTTACAAGATCACAGGGAAAAATATGTCAAGCAACTTCTGAAGAAGAATCAAAAAGCATAGAATCTTATAATAATATTTTGCTGGTAGTTTCAACAGATGGAGCCAACAAAGTTTGCGAGGGAAATATTTTTAGTGCAATATAATATTTAATGAGAATATTTTGCTATGACTGCTTAAATATTCAGGTGAGCGATACAGGCCCTCTTGGGCCTCTTGTTTTAGCTCACCTGGGCCGAACGGTCTACTTTTTACTTTAAACAACTTCTTCTGAATAATCAAGAGGCCTAGGGTCAGCAGTATGCTGGGATGAAGGACTACCAAGTTTGTTCAAATGAATGACTTTCGCCCATTTTCAAGGTCACAGGAGTCAAATATGTTAAAATCTTTTAACAACTTCTTCTGAATAACCAGAAGGCCCAGGATGATGATATTTGGCAAATCACATACTGGCATGAAGGGCTACCAAGTTTGTTGAAATGAATGACCTTGACTTACATTCCAGGTCACAGGGGTCAAATATGTTAAAATTCTTTAAAAGACTTTTTCGGAATAACCATCAGGCCAAGAATGTTGATGCTTTAGCCAATAACATACTATGATGAACGGCTACCAAGTTTGTTCACATCAATGACCTTGAATCATATTCAAGGTCACAGGGGTCAAACATGTTTAAATCTTTAAACAATTTCTTCTGAATAACAATAATGATGATA